ATTAATATTAAACACACGATTTTAGTACAAATGTTTGGCACAGACAACTTTCAGTGGAATATTAGTGTCATAGGACAGTTGATAATGATTAGATTTAGGATTAAAGTGAACTCCAGGTCAACAGCTAAGTTTGCAGAAGATATGTATACTGTATATGGAAGTTGTTTTATTTGCCAAAGAAGTTTAATTTTTGTCTATCCAGTCCTGAGATTTGCACACCTCTGCTTCATAGCACAACTCTCCCTGGCAAGAGAGTAAACCTGATTTTTAGCTAGATAACTGCTTAATACCCCCAAACAATTTTCTGAATGCAAAGGCCCCGAAGAATAAAAAAAAATGCTTGCTGCAATTTTTTATGTCACACAATATTTGTGCAGATTTTATTTTTGTATATGTCACTTCAATTAAAGCAGACTTTTACTCTCCATACTTACTTTCCCTTATATGAATCCGTCCCCCTCCTTTCACAGCATCACAAAATAAAGAAATATATTTTTTCATGCCCTTCACTTCCAGATTTCTTGCCTAGGACCCAGGCTCCAACAGCCTCCTGGGGTACTCACGTCATGCACCCTAGGAGGGTAGGTCAGTCAGTCCAAAATGTGTATGCTCCATGGCATGAAAAGCAACACTGAAAGAAATTGTTAAGCGCACTACTGATGATGGGTATTAATTGTGTTAATGGTTGGTGTGCTGCCTCCTTGACCAGGAAGAGGAGTCCTACGTGATAAAGCAACAAAAAGAGAAGCAAAGGAGCGCTACAACCTGGAGGGAAGTCCTATGTTAGGACTATTGTCAGCGGGATCGTATGTGACAGAGATTTACATCTCTATAATTTACTCACTTGGGTGGGAAGATGATCGACCTGTGAGGGAAGTGATCCAATGTCTTAGGTATTAACGATGTTGAAAACTTCTTAACTCAATGATTTCACGTGATGCGGAGGATACATCCATAAGAAAGGGTATGCTACCCTGATGACTTCCTAAATACTGGGTCCTGGGGTGCTGGTTAATGTATCTGGACCTAGCTATGGGTCCTTCCAGAGAGAGTTCTTTGTGAGGATGGTAGAGATGCAACTGTGTGTAAAATCCGCGCCTATGGTGTTTCCTTTTAAATGCAATGTATGTGTCAGCAGCAGTGAAAACAAGTGAAGCCTAAAGTCACTCTTTACAATCTCAAGACAAAGTCACTGCGCTAAAAACTTACAACTTATACATAAATATACAAAAACAATAAAGTGCCTAGTGATAGCCCCAACATAATATGCAACCTCCCCTATAGTTAAACTCAATGCAGTTTTGAGATTGTATTGAGTTTAACTATAGGGGAGGTTGCATATTATGTTGGGGCTATCACTAGGCACTTTATTGTTTTTGTATATTTATGTATAAGTTGTAAGTTTTTTAGCGCAGTGACTTTGTCTTGAGATGGTAGAGATGGGCTCAGCTGGCCAGGCTGAGCTGTGGCGGCTGTTCGTTTGGAGCACGAATCAGCCGGACCCTCGGAGGGGCTATGAGGCAGTAGGCAAAAGGAAGAAGTTGATCACTGGGTTCTGATGTCCGTGCGGAGAAGAATAGAAGACTGACAGAATGTAATTGGTCTTGAAAATGGTATCGTGGGCTATCCATGTCATCATGGGGCCGGCTGCAAGAACCAGGAACAGACAGCCAGCTCCTAATGACTACAGGACGCTTCCGCATTGGCTGGGTGCTGTGTGAGTATGTTTATTGAACATAACCTGGCAAGCATGGGTAAAATCTCAATATATATATATTTCTTTAATCTTTTTTTATGCAAACCGTGAAAGTACATTAATTTGACTTGGTATAATCCTCTTGCAGTGCCCTGCACAGAAGATCTCAAGACTTGGAGCAAAAGGAGCAGCACGAGGAGACAGTTAGTTGTGCTGACAAGGAATATGCTGATAGGATAAGAGAGGACAGTGACAAAGAAATGAGCTCATCATTCTGCTGTTTTTCCATGACTGTCCGGTCACAGGCTGGGGAAGGGACAAGACCTATAAAGGGTTAGTTCACTTTTAATGACATTTTATATAAAATCCATATGTATTACAGCATTACAAAGGTCGTTCTGTTCTGCCACCTAGAACACATAACCAGAAATGGATTGTACTTAAAGTGGAACTCTAAACAAAACTTCTGTCATTTTGTAGAGTATAAGAGAAGGGCCTATAGCAGTAAAATCTGAAAGAGTTTGCAGTCCTCCCCAAGTCTAAGATGAATTTAATGTCCTGTCTGGAATTCTACTTTGTACCAGTTTGGATAAGTGTCTGACATCCTGGTCACCATAATACTGTGCCTTGAAGATGTATTTGCCCGTTATTGCTAAATTTGATATTTTTATTTAAAAAAACATGCATCAGTGAATGTTTTTAGAATTCCTGCCAGCACATTTACCATTAGTTCATGCACATTTAAATATTCAATCTGCCAAGCTTGTAACACATCAAATGTGACAGCCAGCAAATGTCTGGTAGAAGTTTATAGTACAGTATACTGTTTTAATACCCTTCCTTCTGGCTGGCTGGAGCACTTCAGTGTTTTCTGTTAAACACTGCTAACTAGTAAATGCGCCGAGCTGTTTAAAAAACAAAGTCTGTTTATTGCAGATCATAAAAAAAATTATATACAACATTATAGGGTAACAAGATCACATTGGTTATTTAAAAATCAGCGTTTAACCATAACACTGCATAATGGCTTTAATTGAGTAAGGATACCTTTTCAGTTAAAGCCCAATCGAACATGCTGTTTAAATCAGCTGAATACGTTCCAGGTGCATAAAAACTCCAACAGCTTGATTTCTTTAGAAATCAATAGAGAATCATGTCCTCTTCCAGCATGCTGTAGAGAAGGACCTGTACTTTTTGTGTGAAAACAGTGGTCTCTCTGCAGAAGTCCACCGCACACCATGCTGAGTCAGAGCTAGAGCTTTCCAATCAGCTAGGACCATGAGCTTTGCTAATTGCAAAGCTTTTGGTCTGGTTGAGTCAGGGGCATGTCACTAATGCTGACCATACACCAGTAGAACTGTGTTCAAAAAAATAATTAAAGGAATGTTCATTCCATTTACTAATAGTTAATGGGGCCACATTGATGATGAATGTTGACTACAGTGATACAAAAACATTGAAAGAGCAGGATGACATCTTTCATTTTCCAGCCTTGAATTATTTCTTAAAAAGAAAAATCAAAATTGAATGTTAAAAACAAACAAATTTTCAAGCAACATTCATCAATTCTCTGAATTTGTCTGACATTCTCTGACATTATCGAATATTCTGATGAGATTTCTCATTTTAACGTTCTAACAGTGTATGACCAGCTTTATGCAGAGAGACCACTGGCTTCCACACAAAACAAGGGACCTTTTTTTACAGCATACTGGCAGTGAGCAGGCTTTTGTACCCAGGCTGTGTCTGCTTTCTAAAGGAAACAAAATATAAGATTTTGCAAACCTTTTGTTTTGATGTACCTGTAGAGTATTTAGCCGATTTGAACCGAAAATTCAGTCGGACATGAACATCAATGAACATATTTTTTGAATATTGTATTACGATAGTGTTTTATCCAGCAAATACTCTGTATTTAACCAATAACAAGTTCCAAAGCAATCAAAGCACTTGAGCACTTGAAATTACAAGGAAAATTTGCTAACTAACAAAGATGTGCAAATATGAAAAGTTCACTTCCCCAGAAATTTCCTCATAATGCCCAGCAAACCAGTCTGCACAGAAAGTAAAAAGTGGGGGCACTTTTTTTTTCTGTGCCCCCACTTTAACTCCTGTTCATCTAGTCATGCGCAGCCCATGGACCCACTGCTACAGCTGCATTTGTGTTACTATCAAGGTGCTGAACAGCCTAAAATCCAGCACAGCAGCAGAGGGAGTAAGGGGTGGCAAGCGAGTCTATTTCTGCCAAGCATAGGTAACTGTTTGCTCTGACCATGGTCACATGCTGACAGTCTAGCATTTGTCAGTCACCTAACTCTCCTAGTGTCGGGGCACTGGGACGGGGGAAGTGGACTGTGGGAGGTTTGGCAAATTATTTAGCTAGTATACTGGCAATACACATTTTCTCACACATTTTGGTTGTCATATTGTCCAATTAACTCCTGTCCTTTTCTTCTACTAGGTTGGCTTTGATTTGCAGATAAATAATTATGCATATTTCTAAGGTATTGACTTGTATGGACCATTTGAAAGTATCCAGCCATAGTTTAACATTAATAAGAAGTCATTTGTCAGATTTAGTTTACCACAGTACAAAATTGTAATTAGTAAGGGCAATATTTGCTGTTTCCAGACAGTAACATGCATTAACAATACTGTACCTCATAAACCTCATCAGGTCAGTGACCAGCACTGATAGATGTAATGGCTTTGTACAGACACTAATATTAAATTAAAAGTTCTTTTGGCACTACTTTAAGTTGGTTTAACATCTTCATTGCCTTCACAAACACACACATTCCACCGCAATGAATGACTGAATGGTCACTTCCATGATTTTTCAGTTCTTAACTTTGTTTGATTTGTCCATTGAAGAGAGCCGTAACTCTGTAAAAGCATTTTCCAAGGGCAGTGACCCTTTAAGTAAATCTTGATGCCGTTTCTTTGACCTTGTGTACAACCGAACATTGTAGAAGAGAGTTGACTGTGTCATACCCCAAACAACTGCGAGCCACTTCATGCATAGACATACCAGGTCAGCTTTTCGTTGGTCGTGCCAATATGTAAAATGACTTGACAGAGAGTAGTAATGTCCCTTTAGTAAACTTTGTACAGTATGTGTAGAAAGACGTTTCTGCTGTGTAAGAAGGTTGTTAGCTAACAAAACTCATGACCAGAATACAACATTAAAAAGAAGACTGGTCTCCGCTTGTGTCTGTACACTGCAGTAAAATATGGGGCATGAGGGCCCTCAGAGCCCTGCAAGAATATATGATCCTAGAAGAAAGTTAGTGTTCTTTCTGAAGTTACTTGGTCCAGCTTCATCGCAATGAATTGGTTGAAGAAGACATTGCAGGACAGTTGAAGAAATCCTGGCTGACCAATCGTGGATAACCCTCTATAACTCTCACCTGTACTGGGTCAAACTTCCAGTAGTATCTGCCCCGCAAAAAGTAGGCAAAACCTGGAACATTAAAAAGTCATCAGTTTTAGGAGAAACACTTCATTTTCTATTATTAATACTGTGGTAGAAAACCAAATCCACCAGTTTATACTCAAAACATTTGTAGTAGTCTTACCATGTTCATCTTGGAAGGCAGCAGTTATTCCTGAAGGTACTCCTCTCCAATCACTCATAGTGCGTGAGTGCCAACTTTCCACTCGCCGGGTTTCAGTATTTAAACGCCAATACTCTGCTCCTTTGAATAAATAGGTTTTCTTGTTCTTGGCAGTGCCCCATAAAAAGGCAGCTTGAATGCTGGTTACAGATAAACCAAGGTCTGATATCTGGAAGGGACCCGTGACCTGAAGCTTTGTATCAAAAATCCAGAATCGCTGTCCTATAATAACAAAAACGCAAAGATCAGGAAACATTTAATATGTGTTATATGAATTGGTAAAAATACTATGGTCACAAGGAATGTAATCATACCAGGGCCCCTAAGTTCACATACAGCTCAAGATGCAACCCTTTCTGCACCAATAAGGGGGATTTTGGAAGCTTTATATATTCTGATCATGTGTTTTTCTGATGATCACTGCTAGAAGTGAGAGTGATCTAAACATTACCCCTATACACAAAAGCAGGGGTAGGCAACCTCTGCATGCCAGCTGTGGTGAAACTACAAATCCCATCATGCCTCTGCCCCTGGAAGTCATGCCTGTGGCTGTCAGAGTCATGGGACTCATGGGTAGTTCAACAACAACTGAAGTGCCAAGGTTCCTTGCCCATGCAGTAAAGAATTGTGCAGATATCTATAATGAATAAGGCTTAGGATTAGCTTATATCATGGTGCCTACAGTAACATAATACAAGACAGGGCCCCTGGGAGTAATGGTACTAAAAAGCGTGTCCTTATTGTAAATTCTCTGGACTTCCTACATCATACCTAGTAGTCTTCTTCGCAAGATATTTGATTATTTCCTGGCTTTTATGGGGCCTTCTGGGGCACATATTGTAAACAGTAACTATTTTCTAAAGTGCAATGTCTTTATTTCCTTTTACACCTTGTTCACCCCGTGTCTGCATGCTGCTTGTGCCCAGATCTTTACTTTCACCTGGTGAAATGTTGTGCCCTAGGGTTTGTTGTCTCATGGGCCAGTGGAGCAGTGGGAGTTAGATCTGTCAGGAGCTGGCAGAAGCTAGAACATTTGCTTTGCCTCAGGGTTAATATGACACGCCAAGGCTCCTGTGTGCAGACACACAACCATGGGCTAAGAATGTGTGCAGATCCCAAGACCCGTCTTAACTTGTGTCATCTTACCAATATCCACCTTTGCTGCATGCAAGAACAAAAGGCAGAATACATCTCTATTTATGGATGTGTAACAATTTTCTCATCCTTCACACAAACATAATGTGCCCAATGTGTACACATTTAGAATTGCTGAATTTTTATTTAAATTATATATTGTCCCAAAACTTATGAAACTTAATGAAACTTATGGAACTATTTGAGTGCTGATGTAATGGACCTCTAGCTGCTTTTTATCTCTCTTGGTCACTGCCAATCCTGGCAACTCTTACTGATGGCTTAAAATGACTGCTTCAAAAGAGACATGCTGCAAGTGCATCTCTTACATGGCTTCTTAATGCACTGGAGGTAACAAAAAGGAGGGGTGGAGAAGAGCCAACAACCTGGCGTGGAATGGTGAACAACCTGGCGTGGAATGGTCTTGGTCCAAGACTCAACGAACTCACCCAGATCTGAATACAACCTTCTTTCTTCCCAACACCCAATCACCATTCCACGCCAGGTTGTTGGCGCTTCTCCACCCCTCCTTTTTGTTACCATCAGTACAAACGTCGGACACCACAGTCCGTACATTTGAGAAGCAGCACACCCAGCGTCCCCAAACCCCCCACTCCCCCAGCCCCTCTTAGAGCGCTTATTCCTGGACATTCATTTTCAACTTTCACAATTAATGCACTGGAGTAGCGCCTTGGTGTCTTCCATTGTCCTACCTGTAAGTTGTTCTGGTTGCGTCCCTTCTTCTAAATTTATTTTGCTGCCTGGCCTGAAGTGTACCTTTAATATATCTCAGATATATTTTGATGTCTGATGAGATTTTGTCTAAGGCTACCGAAGGTACATTGCTGCAGTTCAACTGCGCCTTCAATTACAGTTGTCCCTGAAAGGGCAAGTCTAGCAGGGCAAATCTGAGAGCAATATGCAGTTAGATTACATGCCTTGGAGAAGCCATTAAAAATTAATGAGCATAGAGAGTCTAACTTGTAATAGATAGAGGTTAAAGCTGAACTCAAGCTGAGCCAGACAGGGCACATGCAATTTGACAAATTGTCTTTTTACACTAAGGTTGTTCTGAGAAAATCAGTACATTATTTCTCTACTTGTACATGTTTTTCATCAATCCCTAGTATAAGCCAGGGTTAGCAGAACATTTCTCTAACATACGGTAGTAAAGAGGTGCAGTGGCTTCACATGGCCATTAGTTTTTTTAGGTACTATTACTAAGATGATATAATCAGTCTGTAATCATGCTGAAGTTTGATTATAAATGGTAAAGCAAACTGGTGGTTGCCATTATAGACTAATGACAGCTCAGATATAACAATGTCAAACTATTACAGTACCAGTGTATTCTGCTTACCATAAAAGAACCAGATGTTCCCAGCTGAGTCTTCCAAAGCAGCATCCACAGACTCAGGGATTCCTTTCCAGTGTCGGGAAGCCAAGGCCGGATAACCACTCTGTAGTTTACCTCCTCTGAGACGCCATACATAGCCTGATTTGAAGAAGAACAGCTCCCCACGGATTGTGGATACAGCATCAAAATCTGTGGAACAGGCATCTGGCTGCAAGCAATATAAACCATCACTGTTGTCAGTAATAAAGTTATGATATAGTTCAATTACATATAAAATGTATATCTGTGTATATGTAATTCTGGAATTCATTATTTTTAAAATAATTGATTTAGTTTTAGCATTGCATCGATGCAGTCTACTATTCTCATAAATACGCAAATGAAAATACACTATATTACCAAAAGTATTGGGATGCCTGCCTTTACACGCACTTGAACTTTAATGGCATCCCAGTGTTAGTCCGTAGGGTTCAATATTGAGTTGGCCCACCCTTTGCAGCTATAACAGCTTCAACTCTTCTGGGAAGGCGTCCGCAAGGTTTAGGAGTGTGTCTATGGGAATGTTTGACCATTCTTCCAGAAGCGCATTTGTGAGGTCAGGTACTGATGTTGGACGAGAAGGCCGGACTCGCAGTCTGCGCTCTAATTTACCCCAAAGGTGCTCTATCGGGTTGAGCTCAGGACTCTGTGCAGGCCAGTCAAGTTCCTCCACCCCAAACTCGCTCTTCCATGTCTTTATGGACCTTGCTTTGTGCACTGGTGCGCAGTCATGTTGGAACAGGAAGGGGCCATCCCCAAACAGTTCCCACAAAGTTGAGAGCATAAAATTGTCCAAAATGTCTTGGTATGCTGATGGCTTAAGAGTTCCCTTCACTGGAACTAAGGGGCCAAGCCCAACCCCACAAAGTTTGGAGGTCTGTAGCTATTGACTGCAGACAGTTGGCGACTTCTGCGCACTATGCGCTTCAGCATGCATTGACCCCGCTCTGTCGTTTTACGTGGCCTACCACTTCGTGGCTGAGTTGCTGTTGTTCCCAGTTGCTTCCACTTTGTTATAATACCACTAACAGTTGACCGTGGAATATTTAGTAGCAAGGAAATTTCATGGAACACCTGAATCCAATGATTTGGAGGGGTGTCCCAATACTTTTGGCAATATAGTGTATAAAGGTGGAGGGAAAAATGCTGTGGGACCTGATTGTTACTAACAATCAGCTGCCATCCCTGGTTTTTTGGGTGCCTTTATAGCCCATTTCCTACCATGGTAACCACATACATTAATTTTGCACATCACATTTTAATGTAGTTTAAATGTCATACTGCATTTTCTGATTATAAGCATTTAAATGCAAAGCTTGTGTGCTTAAAGCTTTAGAAACTGCTATATATTTTGATTGTTAAAATGTATACTATATATACCCCACACTTCTAGTAAATTAAATCTCTTAATCCAATCAAAGAGCACACTATGGAAAATGTATAGATTTAGATACAGTAGTAAGATTCTTCTAACCTCGGAATAAGGGATCTCATTGCTCTCAGGTTCTGGCTGATTGCCTTCTGGCTTTGGAGTTGGAGCTATGGTTGGGGGATGCGGTGCTCCATACAAGTACTGGATGCCTTGCTTATCATCTGCACTAAGACTGAGTGGGTAACGGAAAGTATAAAATGGAGACATCAGTGATTTCGAGACTGAGGAATGTTGCAAGCCAAGCACATGTCCGAACTCATGAGCAGCTACTTGCAGAAGATCTGTGCCTGCAATACACATGGAGAGAGGCATTTGCTAGTTCAAGTACAAGATTTTAGTGTGCAGCAAGAATTCTTCTATTGTTGTCTGTAATTCATAGCTATCACCTACCTATACTGTTTCCAATGGTCCAAGCTTCATCATAGTCAAAATGTACGTCCCCCTCTCTGTGTGTCTTTGGAAAGAAAGCATGAGCAAGGATGCCCCCAGGACCATCGAAAGGCAGGTTGTCTCCATGCCAGTACCTGTAAAGTATTGTATTGCAGATTATGTCCATATTACTGTTATGATCCTCCTGGTGCCGCTGCTGGCTCAAAGTATATCTCTGTTCTGATCTCAGGATCTGTTTCAACTTGTCTCTGGATGTTCATACTCTTGTATTTACACCAGTGTTAGTAGCCCTTAGAAGTAATTAGTGCTTACACTAGTATTTACTAACAAGAGTAACACCATATTTTATCATTGATTTTAATCCTTCAAAACTGCCACTAATGTGTGTAAAAGTGCGATATGTGCATTTGATTTTGAGTTTCTTTGGGGGTAAGGGTCTAATGGGAATGGGTCAATGTACCGTGTAAAACACTGCACAGTGTCAGTACTGTCACACACATGTCATTACAAAATATACATACTAAAAATAAATAAATATTGAAGCCCAATGGTCCTTTACCTCAAAATGTAAATGTAATGTCCCTTATTCAGAGAACAGCTTTACATTCTGTTCTAACTTCTGTACTAATTATATTATGCCAGAGCACACTGCAAGTCTTCATGATATATTATTAGTTAATATTAGTACAAAATAGTTTTATCAGCTAGAGATGGAGTGTTTGGACTGATTGTCATAGAAAGTGTAATGAACTCTCACTCATCTTAGAAAGATGTGTCAAAAATAAACTACATATAAAAAATGCCTATTACCAGTTTATGGATAGCTTGTCCAGTATAAGCTAAAGTTGTTGTAGACGTTTTTTTTTAAAGTTTTGTGTGTATGTATTTATCCCTGTTTTTTCTGCTGTCCAAATGCATGAAACATTTCAGGCAGTTTTAACCATTATCAATTGCAAATTAAACACATAAAGGAAATCTACTGCTAACATTTCTAAGCATCTCCTGGTTTTGATAACCATTGGTAGAAGGTGACACTGATCAATTTGGTCATTTAAAAAATAGTCAGTTGAAAGTGGCTCAAATGTTTCGAAAATTGCTGTGTGTGGCCAGCACTAGGGCTGAGTCTTGCTTTTTAAAATGGTATGCCTTTGTTTAGTTACTATTCACTATATGATTGTATAAGACGGTACAATATGATACCATAAGGTAGCACAATCTATACAAATATCATTGGTTGGCTTACATAAAAATAAATTTGCGAATATAAAAATTGGGCAGAAAGTATGTTCTAATATGTCAGGAGGAATGAAGAAATGAATACATTTGAAATATGATGGCATTCATTCCTAGAGATGGGATACCTGATAGAAATAAAAGACCAACTCAATCTAAACCTTTTTTTAGTTTTAGATAGACTTAGAGAGAGTAAATACTTCGATCAAGTTTTTATCACTGTCCCCATGTGGCCATGATGGGTAGAGTTCATGGCAATTCCTGAGACAAGCAGGACAAGAAATGAAGGGAGTGCTAATTACCAGAACAGGAACAGCCAGTAATAACAGCCTAACAGATGGTCTAGCCTTTCACCATTTTAGTGAAAAAGTGTTTTGTTGCAGTCTCTTTCCCTACTGGAGAGGTTTTTAATCACTTCCTGCCCTGACATAAGGAGAGGGGAGATCTCCTCGTGAAGACAAAGGCTGTAATTGAAAACCTGAGAGAAGTTTTGGCGGGGATGGGTTTAACATAAAAAAACCTGGAATATACAGTGTATATATATATACAGTATATATATATATACACTGTATAATCACCATTTACTCATGTATTCATTAACACACTAGCTGAAAGCAAAATTCAATCTTAGGGGGGAGTCTGTGGAAATGTAGACTCCAAAAAAGATTGTCAGCTTCCCTATACTACCACATAGTACAGCAAGGTGGCTGGATCACAGGGCTGCATGTAATTTACATAATTACAGGTCTTTTGCCAGTTAGCCCAATTCCTAGGTATGTGTGTATACTGTGTATTAAGTAGTTTGTCTGGAGTTGCCCTTTAAATTCATAGCATTCTCTGTAAATTTAAAATGGATGATATACATAATGATTGATCATTATGTATTTGGTTTTTTTTTTAGCAATCCTAATTATTTATAGGTCTATGTTAGGTAACTATCTAGTATACATATTCTTACATGAACTACATTATACATTACTACGCTATTATGTCCATGCATTTGAAGGTGGCTATTAAATGAACTCACCGTGTGAAATCGATAACAATGTCAGCCCGTCCTTCATACACCTCAGTGAACGTCAGAGGCGTCACCTCACTCCATACTCTCAGTGCTTCAGCAAGAGTCCTTCGCACCTTGACTTTACTGATCTGCCATGGGAAGCGGATAATCCTGAAACATTAGAAGCATTGTTATCATGTATAGTGGATGAACAATCTGTGTGCCTACCAAGAGATTTACCCCTCACTTCCTGTTCCAGAGACACAGCAGAATGTAAAAGGGATATCTCCTCTTGGCCCAGGACCAGAAGTTACATTTTCCCAGCAGGGCATGCTTAGCATTAGGGCTGGTTCACCCCTGGGCGTTTTACAGCGCTATAAAACGCTCAACATGTGAAAATCAATGATTGCCTATGGGCATGGTTCCCACCTGGGCGTTTTACAGCGCGTAGCAACGTGCTGCAAAACGCCCTATGCTGAAAGAAGTACAGGAGCTTCTTTGGGGCGTATTTGCTGCGCGTATCCATTAGGATACAGCCGGATAGCCCTGGGAAACGCGCGCTTGTCGCGTGTTTTTTTACCGCAAATGCACGTATTCGATACGCCTAGGTGTGAACCCAGCCTAAGAGCAGAGCTTCTAGCTGTTGAATATTGTATAAAAAAACTTTTTAAAAAAAAGGTTGGCTTTACATACACTTTACGTCATTAAAAGTTTGTTGTTTGGCCAACCTTTATCTAATGATGTTGCTGTTCAGCAGGACAACTTGGGTAACTTGGACTAAAGTGGAAAGAAATTTTTGTGTACATGGGGCCTCGTTAACCAATAAATATAACTGAAATTGACTGAAACAGGTTGTCCCCTTCTGCCATGTTTAAACTGGATTTAGACTATTTGGGTAAGGTAAAATGAACACAGTTTTACCTGTATGTTAGGTTGGTCTTGTCCCAGCGTCCACCAGAAAGTACAAAACGCTTTTGTCTGTTACGCCCAGAGGAATCTGGGGGGGCAGGAATATCAGGTACTCCACAGCGAGGGGGATTCCATGAATTGTGAGGTCTGAGCAATCCCTTGGTATGAGTGTTACGTGTCCATGACCGTGGTTTTACTGAGGGGTGCTTCTGGTCCTAAATATAAAATAGATTGAGTTATTCCTCCAGGGATGTGTAATGGATAGCCTAACATGCATATTAAAGTTGAGTGTATCAATATCCTGAAATGTTAAATAAATGTATGTGTTAGGTTTATGTTAAAGGAATCCTGTACTGAGAGAAATATTAAGAAAATGCTAGCAGTCTGGCTGTGCTGACACTGTCCTTCCTTCTGGAGGGTGGCTACTTTTCTTCCCCATGGTACCTGTGTATTTTAAAGTAGCCACTGCTCCAAGCTTGCTCCCATAATGGACTACAATCTCAATTCAAATTAGTAAACTAAACATGAGATTGTAGTCCATCACAGGAGTGAGCATGGAGTGGTGGCTACTTTACAACACACAAAGAGACCATGAGGAACAGAAGTAGCCACCCTCCAGAAGGAAGGACAGTGTCGGCACCAATTCAGAGAGGATTTGAGGATCTACAGCTGAGTGATGTACAAATAAGGTCCAGTGCTGTTATTAGTCAAGATACTTGAATGCATTTTTAAGATATCACTACTAATTTTTGTGTCACTTTAATTTAACTTCCTGTGCATGCAGGACATCATGGACTTTACATACTGTAAGCACAGCATCTACTCCTGCATTTTACTTCCTGTGAGTGCAGAAAACAAATCCAATCAATAACCGTAAATGACTGTAATCCATGGCAGTCAGAATGCACCTCGCGGGCAGGGCCGGCCTTAGGCCTTTAGGCACCCTGTGCGAGAAAGCTTTACAGCGCCCCTCATGCCACTATTTACCATCACCAGTTACATTCAAATTCCTAAGGCAGGCTTAAAACTGGTGGCTTTGAGAAACATCCTAAAACTGGCATTTTCTTCACATCAGAGTAGTGTATTAAAATAACTCAATCTTTATTAATCAGACAACCAACCTTGAACTCTATATAAACAATCATGAGCTAAATTTACTCATTTAAATTACCATACTGGAGCTACAGAGTAGCACAGCTGAAGTATAGCATGTTGGTGAGGATCATGTTATACTGTAATTAAATATGAGAGCCACCTGTTTAGCAATGGGAATTCCACATAAGCCTCAACTTTTTTCTAATTTATGATGATCCGTCGTGAGTTCAAGACACTATGAATGTGAGACAAATAGGTAAAGACACAACTGAGGCTAGGTTCACATCTAGGTGAATTATATTGCACAAAACAGAGATCTGCATGCCAGGCTCCATTCATATAAAGCGTTTGCGTTTCCCTCGTGGCTTTCTGTGCAGAAGACTCTGCTTGTTTGATGCTATCATATAATATCGCTCTTGTACTATTTTGCAGGCATTTTTACCAAACCGCGCGGCTGCAGTAAAAGTCTGAACAATGCATGTTAAAGTGCATTGTTTTTTATGCTTAGAGCAGCTCTGCGCGTATTCGGCTGGCTGAATACACGCGGTCAACCGCTCCTGTGTGAATGGAGGCTAAGTCCATTCAACCTATTCACACCTTTGCGTTACGCGGCCGAATTCTCCTGTCGCAGAACAAGGTGCAGGAGCTATTTTGGGGTCCCATAGACATCTCTATGCATTGAAAACCGTGCAACAACCACGCGGTTTTCAAAGCAACATCGCACAAACAAAAACATGCGAAAACCGCTCACCAGCGCAATCGCCTAGGTGTAAACCTAGCCTTACATGGCCCAGGTGCTTGTTCTAAATACCAATATTGGCTTTCTCATTTGGGTTCTGGTTGCAAAAAGGGGCTTTACTTAAAAACAGTGTTATATAGAAGGATCTGAAAGGACAGAGTGAGTGGAGCTTGGTTGTTTTCACTTTGCATGCCTACAGTGTAAGCTAAAACAGCCAATCTGAGGAAATGCAATTGGTGTACAAAAGACCTTTGATCTTCACATGGGCAGACAAAGATAAAAATGCAGTAACATATGTCATACATCATTTAACTAGGGGGAAATTCTGCAAGAAATATTTATTTTCCTTACACTGAACGTGTTGAACTAAAGCAAGCGACACTATTTGTGTGTTCATTATAAAATGCATGGACTTGTATGTAAATGTCTTCTTCATCATGCACAAATTGACACTGAAATGAACCTGATGAGATTGTGTTGGCTAGCATGCAATATAATATACAAGAGTAGATCAGGGTGTGGTAGCTGGTCCCAGGACTTTCAGTGAGTAACACAAGCTACTCTTGGATGCAGAATCTAAGAGCACCCAGTCTTCTCCAAGGCCTCTGAAGGAAAAGATGATTCATTGTGTTATCAGGAGACCCCTGTCACTCCCTTAGGGGGCACAACGATCGAGGATGCCAGATAATTTAGGAAGGCTGAGGACACCAAATATTGGACCTGAAGTAGCAAAGTAGGGAGCAGGATGGTCAGAGACAGCATTTCAGCAGCTGGTGTGCACAGTTGTACCAGAACATTATGTCCTGAACTGTTGAGATGAAGTCAGCAGAAAGAACAGCAGGCCTCCATCCTTGTGAAGTGATTATAGGAAGCTGCACCTACATTTGCAAACAGGCAAGCTCCCAGTGATTCTGTTTGCAACCGAAACCCTTCCACATGATGAAATAGTGCTAAGAATGGCCTCAACGTATTTGTTGTCATAAATTATGCAATAGGCACTAGATCTCGTATCCCTGGTCTGAAACAAGAGACATGGAACAGAGGTGGAAATTCTGAAGGATTTGGGTATTGATGGTTTATAAGTTGTCTGGTTTGTTTTCCTCTTGGCTGGGAATGAACCGACAAATCTGGGGCCAAGGTCTTAGCCAAACAGTAGAGTCCTATGTTCAGTTCACAATGTTATACTGTGCTTTAGCGCGTGGTTCTGCAATGCGTAAAAGAAAGCATGTTTTTGTGTGCTGGTGCGTTGTGGAGTTGTTCATTCTAAGTGGCACCTTACTGCGCCTTGGTATGATTTGGCGCAGTAGGCATCCTATTTAAAAGAATGCATCTAGCCATAAATTGATTTCAGACAGACAGGGACAAACACCTACCAACTGAGAATGGGATATAAGGTTTTGCCAATGATCCTATTTAGTATCTCACAGCTGGAATTTAACTAATTCTTAACAGCTGGTACTCTCAAGTCAGGAACAACATTTAGCAAAAAAAAAAAATAATTAGTGGAAACTTGACAAAAATGGTGGTTGGTTAGTAGCAGAATGAATCATTATAATAGAGACAAATTCAGACCTGGAAAAAAAGCAAGATCTTGGACAAAGAAGGAAATCATCTTTATCTACTGTTGTGTTATTTATGCATTCTGATGGTCCATTCATTTGCAGATGATAAGCTGATTCTTTGCAAAGTTCAATATTCAAATCTTTGCAGAGAAATTTCCAGAACATCAAAGTGAATTGTACCTTAGATCAGAGATAATGCTATTTGGAAAACTACAAGATCTTATCATCTCTTTGAGGAATATGTGAGCCAATTCAGAAGCTACGGAAGCCACTGTTATAGGCAATAAATAAGCCATTTTGGATAACTATTCAACAATCACAAAGAGGGAATAAAAACATTAATAAAAATAGAGTTTCACATGAAGTCCATAAAAAAAGCAATAGACCAGAAAAGGGTCCCTGCAAGCCCCAAACCTTGGTCTTTTGGTCCTTGTTACAGATGGATATGGTGAAAGAAAGTACATAATTTCTGCTGTTCTGTATGTCCACCATAACAACCACTCAAACAATCAAAGTGGACGCAAACAACTGTGTGTTCAGTTTTTGCCTTAATGTGCAAGTGTGTACAGCATACTTGCACATTAGAGCACACTTACCCTACAAGTGTGCCCTTCTCCGGATTGATTTCTGGGCCCCAGTTCTGTTCCCTGCTGCCATCTCTGTCACCACCACTACTTCTGAGTTTCAGCTATTGGGTGGCTGCTGAGGATGTTACTCCTGCGCATGCACACAGGAGTTACATCCTCCCTGGCACCCAGACTATTTATGGCATCTTAGAGATGCCATAAATGGGCTGAGTGTGTACACTGAATTGCGCTTGAGCTGTAAAGTGTACACAGAAAATAAAATATTGCTCAGGGAAAGAGGAAGAATGTTTTAAAAGAGAGACTTTGCATGTTTCTTCTGCCAAAATTTCCTACCTCCCAGCAATTTATTTTATTTTATTGACTTTACTTCCACTTTAGGATGTTTTATAGGTCTCAACGTGACCAGCCAAAGGAAAGGAAATTCTTTAATAGTATTTTGTTTAAGTTCTTAGATGTTTTTGTTCTTACTCATAGTTTCTTTCTGCCGTTTTGAACTTCCTTAAGAGAAAGCTGAATGGGTGCATAATTTGGGATCTTGACACTGAGACAACATAGTTCAAATAGAAGAGTCTAACAGCATTTTATTTGGTGAGTTTTTTTGATGGGTAGAATTATGGCAGAAAGGTCCTCAATGTATTTTTTTTTTAAGTTAGGGAATCTCATGCACATTTATTTACCTTTTTTTGGAAGTTGTAGCAGGCCAATTCATAGTAGAATCTGTGTTGACAGAATCTAATCTAGTCAGACCTTTTTGACATTGGTGGAGTAAAGGTTAAGAGGCAGGGCCCAATCCTGGTGACACACCGGTGACTAGACACAGATGCTTTTGCCTGTGCCAGCCTAGGTGCCCAAGAGCTGATGGTACTTTCTTGACAGTTTATTTTGTCATCTTGAGAAAGTTAGTAGCACTGATTATTAGGGCTTGTTCACACCATTTTCTGGTCCAGATCTGGTGCAGATTTGCAGACGTGGTGCTATGCGTGCAGCGTGTTTTGTATGCGTTTTTACCGCGTTTCAGATGCGTTCCAGTTCCTTTTTTTGTGGAGTGCGGCTGTTAGCTGTTAATTGCAGTGCGGTGCGTTTTCGTTGGTTTTTGACGCGTTCGTGCGTTGGTGAGAACTGTAGCCCATAAAACACATAGGGATACATTGGGATGCATTTTTAGTGCAGGAGCAAACTGTTTTGGTCCGGACAGAATCCGGATGTTGTGTGAAAAAGCCCTCAGAGCTACT